TTGAAAAATCGCCCCCCCCTGTAAAATGTAGCTCGCACATTACTGATATACAGATACCATTCTTTTGATTGTACCTCATTTGGATTGTTAGCAAAAGTATCAAGTCCTGGAGTTACTTTTTCAAATATTTCTTTGTCATCTAAAGTGAAATGTTCCGTTTTACGGCTAATATGGAATTTATACGTTGTTGCTTTACTACCCGTTGAACCAGCATCAATTACAACGACATACTTTAAGTCTAAACAAAGAAAATTAGTTGTAAATTGTTTAACAATAGCCGTTGTTATATACAGATACACCATTTCAGCCTAAAAATACAGCGCACCGCTACTAAAATAAAAAAAAACCGTGTTACCTGTGGGATTTCCTGAACAGATGATCATCTATTTTTTTTAATAAAAAAGTGGTTTCACGCATTTTTATTTTTATTTTTTTTTATTTTTTTTAATAAGAATGAAAACACTTACATAGCTCCCAACCACTAACGTTGTAAATAGGAATAATATCATTGTAAGAAATAATGGATTTGTTAAAAAAGATCTTTTAAAATATAGTCCTAAGGCAGGCTTATGCATCTCACCACAATAAAGATATCACAAAATGAAATAAAACTCAATTGTTGAAAGGGAATTTAAGCAAAAATTACGAGTCAATTTTTGAGAACTTGTTTGCCTTTCACGAAGCCACAAATTATCAGCACTCGTTTTTGCAAAATATTGCAATAACAATTGAGCAGCTTGGAAACAGTGCCTTGAATCTAACAATTTCCAGAGCTTGTTTTGTCTGAAAAGAGAATAAAATTTACACCCTTGTGAAAAAAATGACCAAGTGTGTAAGATTTAAGTGTATATTGTGAGTAATTTTGTACTGTTCAAATTAATCTATGGAACTTGGCTACTTCTTTTGCTAATAGTCACTGCACCACTAATAGTCGAGTATTTTGGGATACACAAATTGAATCATGTTCTTTGACAGTTGAATGACTAATTGACTGAGTTGCAGTTGATTATAACGACATGTTTATAAAATTCAAAAATTTTGCACTAGGTATACAATTTTTTACGTCTATACAATAATTAAATTAACATGTTTATCATGAACATGATTAGCTCTAATAATATAAGAGTAATATGATAACGATGCCTGGAGACACTGGAACCATTTTGATCCATACTCAAAATATTATTGTTATTATTATTGGGTGACTATAAAGATATACTTACGCTCTTGTGTTTTTATTGCTAATTCCAGTCATTTATCATACGTCCTCAAGGGAAAAATTTAAGGGGGGTAATTGAAAAAAATCGAGAGGGGTAAGCAAAAAAGTGAAGTGTATTTTGCGAAAAGTGTACTTTTTTCGTTTTTTTTTTGCTCTTCACTTTTTTGGCGAAAATCCCTAGCAAATTGAAAGAATTTTCGTACATACCAAAACTGAGAAGCAAAAAAAAGGTCCTCACTTTTTTGGCCAAAATCCCTAGCAAATTGAAAGAATTCTTTGAAATTTTTTAAGGGGTAACACTTCGTCAGGGGGGGGGGGGTAATCGGACCCCTCAAACCCCTGCTGAGGACGTATGTCATTTATCCAACCTAAGTAATTTTACCAAAATGATTACTATGTCAAATAAAATACTGAAGGCATTAAAACAATGAACACTCAAATCATAATATTTGACTGTCTCCAAATCAGTGATTGTTTCCAGCGTACGGAGTTATCCATAGATATTTGACGTTGAGATAATATCCGTGTCACTTGGCAAATACAATAGACAATCGAATAAGAGACATTACATATATTTCATAAAAAAAAGTTTGATAGATTCATATTTTTGCTAAATAAATGAATACGTAAAAAATAGTGGTCACTTTAAAACTACTTAAAATCAATTCATGGATCAATTTTCTTAAAATATCATTATTGGTTAATCTTGATAGCACTACGCAACAGTAGTTTTCTTTAAATTTGAATAATTTTCATCACAATTAAAATATTTATAAAACTGCCAATAGTTAAAAACGTAATAAAAACAGAAACTGCCAAGCACCACAATTTAATTTTCCAATATCGTGGTTTTACATTTTGAAGCACTCCGATTCCAACCAATAATCCAGCGACAGCACCAAATAAATGCGCTACATACGATATACTTTCGACTCCATCCAAAATTTCGTTGACACTGTAATATGTATCAGAGCCGCACCAAATCAAGAAGACAGTCAACTGAAAAAAGGGATGATACATTTCTTTCCAGTTCTGAAATGATATTAAAAATGTGAATTAATATTTCTAATCAAATAAAAATGTAAGTTCATGGCATTTTTACCATAATAACAGTGGCTATGTGAGCCACAATCAAAGAGTAAACACCGCCCGATGCACCGCATAAGCCATTTGAGCTGAATAAAGATTGGCCCATTGATGCAGCCAAGCCTCCAGCAAGGTAAACTAAAGTAACGCGCCACCAATGATTTATCAATTCCAACGGAATACCTAAGCCGACTTGCATGATTAAATTTGACATAATATGAGATTTATCATAATGAATCAGCATGTAGCTTAAAAAACGCCAAATTTCGTTACGTTTGTTAGGATCATACATGAGCAAAGTTAAAACCGTATTATTCTGCGGCATATCATAGATGCTCGTGCTTGCACTAAAAAATGGAAAACAATTAGTATTGAAAGTGATATTTCAGTGAATGATAACGCACTTTCCATTGGATTCGTTGTAAGAAGCAGCTATGAAAAAGATTATGGTTTGAATAACAGAAAAAGTGATCATTGTTAAGGGTGGCGGCCAAAATCGCAAACTAACATCGTATGTACCATCTGAAATGCATTTCCAATATAAGATAAATACACAATGCAATGAATGTTCCACAATAACGCAATGAAGCATTAGAATCGAAAAAAAAAAAACAGAATAAACATCATAAAAGAATTGAATAAAAATCATAATATTTTTTGAGCACTTGAATGTTCTATTTGGGCGCAACATTAATTTAAAGTAAAATAAACTATTTGATTCATGAGTTGTCATGGTATTTCACAATATAACGAAATAAAAAGATAACGTCTCAATGACCTCATCATATCACGTTGTAGAGCATAATATTTGCAAACAACATTTACCTATTACATCGTCTTGATTTCGAGGTGGTACGATCAATTCACAATATTTCAACATTATGTGATGGAACTTATTCTTACGATGCGAATTCATTTCATTGGCATTCGTTTTATTAAGAATTTGGTTTGTATTATGTTTCCTTAATTTCACATGTTCGACGTTATTGTTCTCAAACTAAAAAAGAAATAATTATTTCATGTAAAATTCAATAATTTCATCATTTTAGTAAAAAAAAAATATACGCATTTTAAACGCACTTTTGTCTGTTGATCCAATTCTGCACTGTGATAAGTTTGAGTACAATCAGATTTTGGCACCCACTTGATTGGATGTACTGAATTCAAATCGGATATGCTATTTTCAAAATATAGAACTTTTTTACACTTGAACATTTTTTTATGATTAGGCATTACAGATTTAATTTAAAATTTTCTTATTATTAAATCTGTCTTTAAAATTCAAATAAATACTCAGCACTGTCGCGCTACACAATTTTGATGCGAATCAAACAGTCCCACATTGCAAACTGAAGTGACTTTGACGTTGATTTAATTATATATATTATAAAATGTAGCGTTTTGATGCATCATTTGTATGTAGGGTTGTATTTAATAGTTTGTCCGATATCGCATGTGTTTTTGGACTGACTTTTGTTATTCCGATAGCACGTGTGTCTGTAGAGTTCCATTTATGATTATATTAATTTGGAGTGGACGACCGATAAAAATAATAATATTTACGAGAAATCTTGTATCATAATCAACATAGCATTGAGAGGTTTTGGATATCTACATTGTTTCAAATCTTCCAATCGGCGGTTAAAGTTTTATGACTCTATCTAAGAAATTGTAATATTCAATATCTAAATGCTGTGTGTCCGGATTGATTTCGCTACATTCTTATTTTTATATGATCAAGATTATCAAATGTCTGAGATAAACTAAAAAGATCATCAAATGTCATACTTTGTTAATTATTTCTTTTAAAACTTCCTCATGGTTTATAGTAGTGTGCAAAAATGGTGTAATTTGATAGCGCAGCGATGCGAACGACTGCTTATTGCGAGAAAAAGCGCGCGAATGCGAAAAAATCATCATCATCTGATTCTGAGTATTGTATTAATGTGTGTATGTGTATCTTTGATTTTTAATTTCACCGCGTGTTGAGCATAGCTGGAGAAAACAAAATCTGTTAAATTCACGCATATAAATAAATATCGCATTTCAATGTAATCATGTCATTGCATGTATATGTTTTTTTATAAATTCAGCTGTTCTATTCTGCAGACTGTGTTTGTTTGTTTTTTGTTGAGTGTATAATTGAGTGATTTATTACGTTGAGTTTTGTGTGTCGCAGACACCCATGGTAGACGCTGCGTATGCATTCGCTGTTTGTATTCAAATTTTAAGAGTGTCGTGGTTGCTTGAGCGAATTGTATTTATTATTGCTCATGATTGAGTGACAATAAAACTGGAAACATGTAAGTACATGTATTGCGCTGGGTGAATCGAATCGTATATCATGTTGTTTTTTAATTATGGCCGGATCATGTAGACGTTTCATATATAAGCTCACCGTTGATTATTACAGCACCGGTCATAATAATGTATTAATAGATAATTTATTCATTGTCTTCCGTTACACGTTGAAAGCAAAAAAGTTATTAGTCAAATGTTATCGTTGGCTAAGACAAAGTTGTGAAAATAAGAAGACTGATAAACCTCGTTACATTTATTTGTATAGTAGATAAGATTAAATAGGAGAACCGGATATAAAAAATCGGAAAGAGTGCGATATGCAAATTTATCTTCTATTTGTTAAAAAGAAAACAACTTCAATTTTAGAATATTCTGAGAAAAAAGTCATTCTTTATTGTTCCCATTCGTTTTTGTGTGCATAAAATCTTTCGTGATAGAAAAAACAACAACCAGCTCATATGAAGCTAGTAAACGGCAGCATTGGTGTTTAAATTTTTTTAGCACGCAAAAAGTTAATACATTTCAATGTATAGCATTGTTTTGCAATCCATTTAAAAATTTAACATTTAATATAAATAAATCACGACATTTAATATGACAAAAATATTCTTATTTAAAACTATTAAACTAGAATCTTTGTTCTATAAATATTTACTCATTGATTGAGTATTTGAACGGATCAACGCTACCGATTTGTAGAAAAATAGAGAAGAGAATTAATCCTCTCGATAAAGTCGTTTAAGCAAAACATATCAATCTATAAATGCCTTTCAAAAGTACGTATTTCATGGAATTGTAAAAGTGGACATCAAAAAACTAAAATTATGATATTCTTAAGTGTAAATTTGTGCATTGATAGAAATGTATGTCATTTTTTTTAGTTGAAAATGCTTGGTTTGTACGATCATATTTTACCAGTAGTTTCCTTTGAGTGGTTTGTATTTGGGAAAGTGATCAGCATAGAAAATGTGGATGGAAATGCCGACAATCATTAACAAAAAGTAAAGAGTTACAGCACACCACCAGAGCCATCTTTCCCAACGGCGCACTTTGAGATTTCGAAGCACGCCAATTCCGACCAATAAACCAGCGACGGCACCACACAAGCTTGAAGTAAAAAAATAAATTTATTGAATGATAAATTTGTATTTTCGGAGAAAAAAAAATTATGTCACTTACTGTGCCACATAACCGACTTGATCATGAATATCGTTGACTTGTCGATATACTGAGAAGCCAAGATCAGTTACACAAAACACCAGAAACACAAATAATTGCACAATTGCGTATTCCATTTCTTTCCAATTCTAGAGAAAGACAAAACGATTCAATTAATTTCAATTTCTCGATCATTTTAAAATTCAGTTGGCATAATAACGATTGCAATTACCATAATTATCGTTGCAATGTGAGCAGTTATTAATGCATAAACACCGCCAGATGCACCCGCTAAGTAAATGTTTGGATTTGCTATGGACGTTCCCATGGAGCCTGCTAGTACCCCAGCCAAATAAACGAGAGCCACACGCCACCAATGATGCACCAATTCAAGTGCAACTCCCAAAAATATCTGTATTATCAAATTCATGAGTACTTTATGATGCGAAAAAAATAAAAAAAATAACCATTAATTAATTGTGACTTGTATTTTGGTGAAAATATGGAAATAAAAACCAAATATGTGTGTGAATTACTCACTGTGCATTACTCCAACATGAACAAACATGTACGTAACAAAACGCCACGCCTCAACACGTAAATGTGGATTGTAGATAAACAAACTAGCTGCGGGACCGTTTGTATTTTCACCGACTGCTTTGTAATTGTGTACATCCTCACTGAAATCGAAGACGTCAATTTATGATTATTATTTAGATTACGGTGTTCAAATTCTTTTGATATAACTCACCTGAAGTAGATGATATCGAAAAGAAACATTATTATTTCAACAATTGAAAACGTAATCATTGTCAACGGTGGTGGGCACACCTTCATACTTCGCTCGTACGCTCCATCTGAGAAAGAGACGAACGCGTAAAAATTGGGGAGAATAAATAAGTTCATTTACGTTTTGCAAGTGACAAGAAAGCGATGATTCATAGCATGATAAATGAGTCAGCCGATGCATATTTGTATATGAACAATTGTATAGTATTTTTCTTTTAAAAGCAGTCAGATGTTCAATTATAGTAGTTTTATTTATTAGTTCAAAGTCTTTGAATACTGTGAAGCTGATACAACTAATTTAAATTGATAAAGTTGTAAATGAATGATGATCAAGTATAATTATCACATAAATGAAGCGATACGCGTCATGATAGCGATGATGATGATGAAATTATCATTATGCCGGTAAAGCATTTTGAAAGAAACAAACCTATCGAGATAGACTCTAATCGAGTTAGCTGTGGCTGAATAATGCGCGCCGCCACCTGATCTGTGCGATCAAATAACTGATTCATTAGTAATAGAATATTTTGCAAACACGTTGTTTGCTCAAAGTTGCTCATTGTTAAAGAGAAAGTTTTGAAAAATAAATTTGAAGTAAAGAGAGACACGAATTGATTAAAAATTACCGGTTTCATCTGCTTCATCGGGACGATGTGGTGACGGAACAATCATTTTACAATATTTGAATACTAATCTTGAAAAAAGCCATTCTTGTTGAAGGCTCAATTGATAGAATTCTTCAAAATTCAGAACTTCATCGCCATCACTGTCCGACATCCGTAGAATATGTTTCTCTAAATAATCGGGCAGGTTTCGACATGGATAACTTTTTATATGGTTTTTTAGTTCACGTATATTCAATACACCATCATGGTTTCTATCAAGCTGAAATAAAAAAAAATCATTCGAATGTGGATTTGACATTATGTACTGCGTAAAAATACTTACCGCATCGAATAGCTCTCGCATTTTTCGTCGATCGGCACGTTCTTCTTCAGAGGTCATTCGTTGTAAATTGTATTGTTCTTGGTCGATTTCTTGTTGCAAACGCTGCAAACCCTCTCGGTCATATCCACTGTTCAATCGTTGCATTTGAATTGTTTGTTGAGCCATTTTGTCCTATATATTTCTTATTTTGCACTGAACAAATTCTTTTTTTTTAATCAAAAATCGTTGAATTCCGATGAGTCAATATATTATGATGAGTTAGTTTGATGTTATTTTGTCATTAAAATGTCGCTTATTTTATCACAGTTCAATTTAGTCTACTTCAGTAGTCAAATCACTAACACACGCGTTGTTTTTATCGTTCCATAAAAAAATGAAATTCCCTTATCGGTTCAAATAATGAAATAGTCGGTTTAAATTGAGCAATCCAAACTGTTGGGGATGTACAAAGAAATTTACACCTCAGCAAAATCGACACACGCACAATTTTCTTCTTCTTCTTTTCTTTATCTCTTCTTCATCCTTTACTTTCTTTGACGTTCTACTTCTTTCAAATTTGGATTGAATTCACATCGAACACACAATTGATATTATTTTTTAATGGATTTTTTTTATTTCGTAATATTTCCCATTTCTTGCAAGCACTTATATTTTCAGGTCACCAAAAAAGTATGTTTGCATTTGATCTGTTGTTGATAATTGACGCCGAAAACAAAGTAGTCATCACAACAAAACAAAAAAAGCGGTGCGAACTAAACAAGCGCTTGCTCGTTACTGAAGGCATGTCACTGCATGTCTGTCTGTGAATAAACCAACATCGAAAAAGGGAGGGATACCTTTGTTTATATTTGACGCATGAAAGCTTCGGAAAATACCAAACATTAAAATCTCTTGACTTTAAAAATACTTCCACATTTTTTGGCAACATTTATTTCGGTTAAAAAAATATGAAATAATATTATTATATAATGAAAATTCAATAAATATTTGTAGAGTAAAACATCATTGCGAATCGTTGCGGTTTCTCAACAGATGGCGCCGAATGCGAACTACCACACATCAAAAGATACAGCGAGTATATGTGGTGTAATCTATCGAACATATGGACATAAACCGTATTGGTTGTGACCATGGCTAGGCACATCGCCCAGGTGAAAATGTGTCTCTAGGCAACGAGATTGTATACAATTACCAAAAAAAGACAAGAAAATCCCGTAAAAAAACGTAATAGAAATTTCATCGACAGTAAACAAACGGTGGGACGTTAAGTCAATTCACAATGTTTTTGAATAAGAATTTTGATAAGAAAACGGGTATTTATCGTACAAAAGACAACATTGATAGCTTTCGATTCAGGTAAATGATTGTATTTTTTTGATTCAAATGAAACCACAAATTCAAAAGCAATATGATTTTCTACAGAATAACATTGAAAACGTTGCATTCGTTTGTAAAAGTGCCAAAGTTCAATGCAGAGCAATTGAACGATGCAGAAGATTTGGATGAAATTGAATTCTATAATTTTCAATGGCAACAAAAGGAATTCAGTTCATCTGAGCTAAAATTTTACAGTAACTTAGATAATTGTAAAACTGATCGAACTAAAGAGTATCACAAACGAATCACCGATGATAATCGTTACTTAGATGAAAATGGTACCGTATGTTATACGGGAAAAATATTTAGCTACATCAACGAAGATAACTACCGCGAACAAAATTCAGAGCGTAATGATTTGGTTGAATGTATTGAACGCTATGGTCAATGGCAAAATGGCAACGAATTCGGTGAGTTAAATAATTTTATGGAAAATTTCTATTTATTTAATTAATATTAGTAATTATAGTAGCAACGCATCAGTAAATAAATTCGATGCATATTAAATGTTCCAAATATGCATTTATTCATTTTCAGTTGGTGATTTTTTCCCGAAGGACGCAAATATCGATGACATACAACGTGCACGCTTCAAAAATCTTGGTCATTTCGAATGCATGTACATAATGGCAGATTTAAAAGAGGAGATTTTATTATTTACCATCAAATATAGATCAAGCGATGGCATTCTGTTAATTTATCCCGATTTAAATAACATTGACGTAAATCCGTATCTTAAAGAAATTGTATGCGATAGTCGAAATTTGTATCAATTTGCCATGGAAAATTTATCGATGGATTGTCAAAGTGAAGCCGCTCAGCTCAAAAATGACATTGAAGTGCTGGCGAATAAGGTGGGACATCATTTTCATGTGTCATACATATACATACCGCATGTCATTGTTGAGTTTTAATTTTAATTGATTATTTTATCCGTATTTCTTGACATATATTGACGGTACCGATAGTTATCAGATTTATGCATCAAAACTCCATTAATATTCGATTTGCCTGAAAACAAGTATGCGATGGTATGTTTTTACTTCGAAATCCAGTTGGCTGAACGCTTTGAATACGATTCAATTCACCTAAAATATGACATTCATATACCCGACAATTGCCAAACAATCGACGACGGATTGGCACAACTGAAAGGTTCTACACATTCATCACGACGAAATGCAATTGATGGTTGCTGGTTGATTGGCCATTGTCATGAGTTGACAATTTCTTGTCCAATCGATTGTTTGCTCAAAGGTAATATGTAGTGGACAAATAAAATGAATGTGTCATGAAATGTTATTTGCTTTCTTTTATTGGCATAGAATCTATAAAAATCACGTATGAAGTCATCTCGATCGATAGTTGGAGCCGAGAACGTAGTGAAGGATACGCCGTATATAGCGTACCATTTTTAGCTGGCAACTATATTGAGAAAGTTGAGTGTTATCGTGATTTAGGCGACAACACATGGTTGAATTGGTTTGAACGTTACTTTATCGGTGGTCGGAGAAAAGTTCAAATCAATGATTTTCATGGAATCATCGAAACAAATACGAAAACTTCATTAAATCGATATGGTAATTGTACAATTCAAAAAAATGGCCTTTCTATTATTAATTTATTCTTATTGATTCTTTTTCGATTATTTGCATGATTATTTGTCGATTATATTAAATTAATTCGATTCTTTTCTTTTGTGATTCTCCCCTTAGGTAATTGTACACAATCTACTGGTCAACTAAGTATCAGACGAAATGTCGTGATTCAACGAAATATCGAAGAAATGGATTGCAGTGAATTGGAACGAAATCCAAATACGCGTAGGAGTCAAAAACTTCCCACAATTTCAAACATACTTCTTGCATATCATCGAGCACGTGAAAAATTGGAATCCATCGCGGATATAAATGAACTGTAACCACTTCACTCATTTGGATTATTTTTTGTCTGTATGAATGATTTAAGATCTAATCTACGTGATTAAAGCATCTATTTTCAATGGAAAAATCAAATTGGTTTTCTTTCATTTTTATTAAGAATAAATCCGCCAATTAAGTGCAACTTTGAAAATTTTCCATATTTACATGAAACATTTATTACACTTTACGCTTTTGCTGTTGGATCTCATCAGTTTATATGGTGCTAAGGGCCATCGTCAAAGCCGTCTGATCTTTTATTATTTGAGAAGAAGAATATAAAAAGAGAGACCAAAAATATACATATATTTTCCATTGGACGATTTAAAGTCCATTTATTGATGATATTCCATGCTCAAATACCACTATGTTTGGCTTGATTTGTTATAGCCAAAGGAATTTTGCAAAGCAATCTTTGTCAAAGTTTTATCTACGCTTGTCTTGGCTTTGCCATCAATTTATTTTCTATACTTATGGATTAGAGAAAATGCGAAAACGAATTTTCGTTTCTATAAAAAGAATCCACCGTCATTTTTGTTTGTAGACTCATATAGCCATTTTCATTGAATTAAGATATGTGGATTATGGATATTTACGTCCAAGCGACGAACAGATCAGAAATGCTGAGCTGAATGGCACTAAATCTCTTGAAATGGAAGACACTTTTATTCGAACGAACTAGAGAGAGAAAGAGCGGGAGAGAGAGTGAAAAAGAGAGAAAATTCGCTTAAATCAACACGAAAAAGAAGCATACAATGATTTTTGGATAGGATAGATTCGTAAGATCTCCGCAAGATCCGGATCCAAGCGTGCGTGCGCTGCCGCATGATGCATACATATATAATACGCACGCAAATTCATTCTTCTTATTTCGCCTACTTTGACTCGCATGCCATAGCAATACGAAATAACGAATGTATGTATCATGCGGCTACGTACGCACGCTTGGATCCGGATCTTGCGGAGATCTTACGAATCTATCCTATCTAAAAATCATTCTATGAAAAGAAGAGAAACTACAAGAAAAAAAATCGATAGTTGTCATCATTCATTCGGTAGAGAAGCAGAAGTATCAACAGCAACCAGAAGCAGAAAAACTATGCACTGTAACTAAAAAGCCAATTAAATAGATAAATTATGTCATTAGTTGTGATTGCGAATTTCAAAAACAACAATCGTTGAAAATGTCTTAAAAGCATGCGTCCAATTTCATTACATTAATCGAGAAAAATTATAGCGAAAATAATTACGAGTGCCTTACGTGCTCGTCCAGGGTGACACATCCAAGACATCCGAGATGTCGGTCGTTGACAACCGGTGAAATTGTTTGATGGTATTGCGCGTCTGGCATGGTTTTTATTCAGCTAATTCTTCTTCATTTTTTTCCATTCTTCAGTACTTGCTTTTTTTGCTGTTGTTTGTATTTCGCTGTCTGTTTTTTTTTTCATATTATTAATAGGAATACACATTTCTGTATACAGTACATACATGTTAAATCTTATGTATACGTGTGAATTCCGTTTCTGGAAAAAGATTTCGTCAAACATATAGCTTTATGTAATAAAATTGAAGAAGAAAAAAGCCAGTTGACAATCGGTTTTACACACAAACATAATATGAATTGCACATACATATATAACATAATTAAGATTGAAACGACAATTTATTTATGTCGACAATCTCAATCGGAATTCTAGGAAGTCAACGGCATGATTCCACGCGATGAACGCAGTATATGATTGTACCTTTAAATAATATTGCCTTTGTTGCTGTGAAGAATAAGGAAAATTAAATACCCATCACTAAGGTTACAGTTGTGTGTTAATAATATGAAGCTCATTGTTCGGTCTGATGCATTCAAAAATGTTGATTGAGGCATTTGGTTCATGCTTCATGTGTGCCGATACATAAAGGAACGACAAGAAAATTTGCAAATGAATTCAGTTCTGTACTTTCTTATTATCTTTTATCAAAGAATTGTTCTTCCCGTAAGTAAATACGTATGTCATAATGAATTGTTTTCAAAGTTTACATACACAATGCAAAAGCAAGTGATTTTTCGTTATCCTGTTCGAAAAAAACAATTTTTAATATATTTCGGTTAAACAATTTAAAACAACATTTCAACAGGGTGTCTCACGAAATGGGGCCACTCTTTGGGGGTGGGAATTTTGAAAAACCCTTTGTATGTTGAGGGTAAAAAATAAAAAAATTCTATCGGTGTAGAATTTTGAATTTTTCCTCAGGGGGGGTGGAGGTGCCCCAAATTTTGCAAAACTTACTCCGATCAAAAAATAATGTACTACAAAGTGGTTCAGAATCACGAGAGAAATTTTTTAGGACCCCTGCCCTGCCCTTAAGGAGGTCGGAAGTCAAAACCCCCCAAGATGTGATTTTTTTAACCTGAAACTCCGAAATTCGGAATCAGCATGAAAAATTACCTAAGAATCGATATTTTTTCTCATCTGCGTTTTTTCACAAATTTTTGACAGAAAAAGTGTAAAATCGACTTTGTAAGAATTGAGGGTCGATTTTACACTTTTTTGGTCCGGAATTCTTGAAAAAACGTGGATGAGAAAAATATCAATTCTAAGATATTTCGGCATGCTGATTCCGAATTTCGGGGTTTTAGGTAAAAAAATCACATCTTAGGGTTTTTGACCCCCCGACCCTCTTAAGTCTATTTTACTTTTATCTTTTTTTAGAATTTTTATATTCAAGTAAGCATTCTTCTAACTACATTACGTATTGGCAGCTCTCTTGGAGAGTCTATCAATCTACATTTAAAAGAATTATGGGAGAGCGACTTAAAATGGAGACTCGCACACGTGAGACCAGATATTGCCAATGCCATGCTACATAACTACGAATTTCGGTAAAAAAATTATTGGATCCGATGATGGTTCGGCAGCTGAAATTGCCACGATTTTTCTGAGATTGGTATTGTGCATTCTTCTGGTCAACAATATTCGGAACGACTGCGCCAACAACAACAACACAAACAACAATGGGAATTAACCCTGATGGCATTTGGAACCATATATCATCGACAAAGAAATAAATTAGTTTTCAATGACACAAATTAGTCATTGAAAATGTTTTATTTTCTGATTAAAAAAAGTAGGCATTTCATTTCTCACTTCGTTTTTCTTGAAATATTTAAATGTTTCCATTTTTTCGCTAGAAAGACTTTCGTTTGAAATCAAAAAGCATGGAAACAAGTAAGCGAAAGTTATCATTCAAAACATTATTTATAAGAGAGAGAGAGAGAGAGAGAGAGAGAGAGAGATGAACAGTTTTCGTTTATCATTGCATTCAATGCATACATTTTACATCTTGCAATCGCTCGGTTTCATTCTCTCTGCATTTGAAAAAAATGAACAGATTGATTTGTTTTTATTTGATTCAAAAACAAAGTAGACTGGGATGTGTGTAAGTATACAAACTACTGACCTACATTAATTATCTATTTCATACATTCGAAAAGTTTATTCACATATAGCACATTGTAAACAGACAGACAGTTCAACAGTTGAAAAAAATTGAATCAAAACGCAATAAACGCAGTGCAATACATTCCTTCAAAGTACTTTGCATTTTCGTTGACCGCTACGGCAGCAAACGGCAGCGAATGTTTACATCGTGAAGCTTTGGCGACTCTCACTTACGTTGTATACTGACAATGTATTTGAACGCGACTCGATTTAAGAAGCGCCATCTCTATCTCGCCACATTCTCGTATATTTTTTTCTTGCAAACAAAATTACAAAATTGTATAAATTGAATAGAAATTTATTTCGTGTTGTTTACGTTGTTTCTTTTGACAGATATTAATGTTTGACAAATATATAAACGAACACCCAAGTGTATAGAGTTTCCCTTTGGTTTGTATTGGGACTTAGAGATGGCGCTCGCAAGATCCGACCGCCTTAAAAGCCCACTATAAGTGAAAGTTGAGCTTTAGCTAATTAGTTCCGGTTGGTAAATTATTGGACAACCGCTTTTTTTAACCTTTGCAAAGGTTGAAAAAACGGTTTCCCCAGAATGTACATATCAACACTACTTGTTTCGCCCACGCACCGCACCTTACGAAAAAGAAACCAGCTTCATGGGGGAAAAGAGCACTTCATGCTGTTCTTGAAAATCACGAAAAATCGAAAGAAAAATTGTAATGGAAAGAAAAGAGACACGAAGAGACGTAATACAACGCTAAAAACAACATACAAAAAGTAGAATGAGGCCACATTGTATAAATATTAATGTCACTCGTCAAGAAGTACGTTACATACTCTACACGGGGCATTCAATAGAACCAAGTGGGAAAAAATAGCAGTAACAACAATAATAACAAATCGTTTCTTTCTTCTTATTTTTCAATGTAGAAAATTGACACGCAGCAAAAACTAAAAACGATAGATAGAGATAAAATGCCCACAAAACGGGGCCGATAAAACGAAGCAGATAACGATAGAGACAGAGTTAGAATGAGAAATAGAATGCGATTGTGCATATTAGATATAGAGAAGAGAACAGAAAAAAACACACGGTAACTTAACATCAAATACATAAACATTGAAAACACAACGAAAACTGTATTAACGCCATTAATAAAGTGCAACAATGCGACGGTCGTCGAACTTTCCATGTTTAATGTTCCATTTTAACACATTTTCTACATAGATTGAATAGCAAACGAGAGAACAGACAACGTTCATAGAATGCATCGGTTCGGTTTTTCGTTGCTATATACATAGATATATATATACCACATATATCGATTGTTGTACAAATTTGTTGTGCGCTGTTGAGCTAAAACATAAATCGTTGTAAAACGAAAATTCACTCGAATACCATCTACCTATATCTGTCTGTCTCGTTCACTCGCTTCAGTATATGTGCGGGTCTGTCTTTGCCATGTTCAATGTTTATATTTGTATATATTTTTTATCAAGTATCGTTCACATACAATTTTGTTAACATTACATTCACCGACCAGGCGAATAACTATTTTAATGCTGAAAACGACGTTTCTAAAATACATAAAACAAACAAACAGACGCATAAGTGTTATAAATATAATATTGATAAATGCTTTG